ACCAATCCCCGTGGACGCCGGATAACGGGGAGTTTACTTTACAGGGTAAAGTATGAGGGGTTTATCAAAATTCCTGTACTTAGTTATTGTTGTAAAGTAGCATTGGCATGGTAGTGGGGCACTAAGCTGATCCTGTGCATCTGTTACCTTCCAGAGCACCCTGAGAGCCTTAAAATGGGTTATCTTGTATGCAATATGCCTTTACTAACATTGTGTCATTCATTTTTCAAAAGAAACACTGAGGGCAGATTTGTTCTAATGTTCTGATAACATTTTATTTTGTGAATGGGGAATGGTTAGAATATCTGCCAGGGTGTTCCCCTCAATTTATAGTTGTTTGCATGCAGTTGGGTGTAGAAAAACAAAAGTATGGCACCTCTAAGGTACACTGTTTTTCAGTGAATCGGAGACAGTCACCTGGTGTAATAAGTCTCAGATATGTACACCATAAGGGCACATGTTTATGGACCCTTAAACAGCACACACAAAACTATATGGCTAAAAGAATGTGGATGTCCCACCAAATTATCCAAGTGTTTCTACTGAACGGTACTGTTAATGATAAAGCATACAAAGATGGTTGGTTTCCAAGCTTGGGGTCGACCCTTTTCTGTTCTAGCATGTTCCTCTACATAAAGCCAGCTACATTAAGACATGGTTTATCCAGCCTGATGTGAAGGAACTCAGAGGCCTGCACAGAGCTCTGAACTCAACCCTGGTAAACAGCTTTGAGATGAATTGGAACACTGACTGCAAGCTAGGTCTTATTCAACATCAGTACATGATCTTGCAAAGGCAGAGTGGGCACAAATTCCTATAGACACACTTCTAAGTGGAAAGTCTTCCTAAAAGAGTGTAGAGGCTTTTGCTTGCTGCCAGAGTTGGGAGTGAGGGTGAGCAACTCCATATTAATGCACATGGCTTTTGAATGGTATGTTTATCAAGGATATATAGGTGTGATGGTCAGGTGACCACATATTTTTGGCCATATAATGTACATGCACGTCAACACAAGTAATAAGCCATTAGCCTCTTCTTACGTAAGCTCACCTGGTGTTGCTATTCTCAGCACATTTGTACCCAAAGAAGCACATTCTTATTCCATCCCAAACCCGCTATTATCCTTCAGTGCAGGTAGTCTAAGGTTCCTAGCAGGGACTGACTGATGAACCACCAATGCATTTTATTTACTAGTGCCTGATGCTGAATATGTTAATGTACAGTACAAATGAATATAGAATTCAGTAGCCAGTCTGTCCAATCCAGGAGCCTTCAGTATTGTTTTTTAGGAGCAAGCTTCAATAACAACAATCCAGAGAGAGAAGATTTAAAATGTTTGGCTCTAGCTAAAATCTTTAATGAGCTTTGGCTACCTGGCTCCTGGCATTTGTCCAGCCCCGATGCACAGTATGTGGGACAACCTGGATTCATTGTGTTTGGCAGACTAAAGAAAGAAACCATGTACCCTCAGAAGCACCCTTACACTTGTTTTATAGTGTGTCTACCTACTTTGCAAGGCTATAAGAAGGAGCAGCTGCGAGTACATCTTGTTTACTTTGCATTCCAAGTGAGCAGTGTGTTCTTTGCTCTCCTGAGATCACCTCTGGGTGCTTATTATTACATTAAGCAAGCCATGAGGGGAATTCTCACCTTGCCTACACAGGTTGGCCTCATTATTTGATTTACTGACCCATAAACAAGTGTGTAACAAATGAAATCAGAACCAGTCTTAATTGCATTGACTAATAATTTTCAGCATAGTTTTCGTCAACAACACTTTTTCAGTGACTAAAGCTAAATAAAAACTAAGTTATGATGACTAAAACTATAAAATATATTGACATTTTAGTCGACTAACTAAAACCAGACTAAAATGTTAGGGGGAGCCTATTTAGGAAGACATCCAGTCAGAACTAATCTCTTTGAACTTCCAGTTCCATCCTGAATGGACAGCTAATAGGTAATACGTGCAATGGCATTACAGCCAATATAGTTTTTCATTTTAATACTTTAGAGTTACACTTCTGCTTGAAAGAATGAAGAAGGTCATATGCAAGTTGTTATAATCATATCTAATTACTGGTCCTTTGTTGAAAATACTCAATATTATTGTTTCTTTATAAGACTTGGTTTGATCTGATTTTAAGATAAATAAAGACATGTTATATATCACGGCAGTTAATTCTGTGTCCGTATTGCATGTTCAAACCTTAATACCATAAGTAATAACAGGTTAATAGATGTTTACTCTAGGAGTATATAATGAGATTGGAAATTCTAGAGAAATTCCTAAATTACTTTTTAACTAAATCCACTAGATTTTAGTCGACTAAATCTACTTTAGATTTAGTTGATTAAAATCTTATGATATTTAGTTGAGTACAACAATTTAGATGACTAAAACTAAATGGCATTTTAGTCAAAAGACTATGACTAAAACTAAATCAAAATTTGCTGTCAAACTGAACACTGATCAGAACTTGTGATCTGCGTACTTTAGGGCTGCAACTAATGATTATTTTCATGATTGATTAGTTGGCCGATTAATTTTTTTGATCGGATAAAAAAATAGATACTATCCTTAATTTAAAATAAAATACAAAATGCAGTGTTACACACAAAGTTTACTTCAGAGTAAAACTGCATGCATAGTTTTTTGCGATTGCAATACACTAGAATGCACAACATTGCGGTACCGTGAGAGCGATCACACTGTGGTGGTAGGCGTGTTTAGGGTGCCACTGAAATGAATGCCATTGCAACGCACTTCCCGCAGCAGAATTTGTCAGGCCGAAACGGAAAATTACTTTTTTTTTCCACCTTTTTTATAATTTTCTTTTTTTTTACATAATTGTATTGTAAGCACATGTTGCTTCAATAGCTTCAGCCAGGGAATGACAGCTGCCAGTGGCAAGATTATGCGGACAGCAGCTGAATGTAAATCAGCAGTAGTGGGCTGGTGCAATGGCCAGCATGCTCTTTGCCATTTCAAATCGCAATAGCCAATAGCAGGCTGGCGATTGCACCTGCCCACTGCTTGTTGTGCCCTCCTCTCAGCGTGGAGGAGAGAGCTAGGCTATCCAACCAACTAATCGGTAGTTGACAACCATTCTCATAATCGATTATTATCTATTCATCAATGAATTGGTTGCAGCCCTGACGTACTTGTATCAGGTCAGTGATGAAGCCGTTGGATTGCAGTGAGAGCCAGGCAACTAGTGTTTTCTAAATAGAAGATTGATCTTGCCACTTTGATCGAATGCTAGATTGTGTACTCTATTTTAAATAATTAGGATAGTCAAAAATAACTTGCTTGGTTCTGATTTGGTTTTAGGTATTTATTTATTCCAATTCCTTTTGTACCCTTGATCTTGCTACACCTGGCCTGACAAGCTGAGAAATACCTACATATGAAATATAGCGGAGTACACTCGTGGTGTTTACATGATGATATGTGCTAGGATAGTAAAATGAACCTGTGCTCTGATGATGGACAAAGCCACAGGTTCACTTTTAAAGATAGTTCCCACATCATGTTATACATGCATTCTACCCACATAATTTGCTGCTGGCAGTTAAAATAAATACTTCTGGGTACAAGGAGCGACTCCCTTTCTGTCTGGGTGACTCCCTTTCTGTCATGTGACAGCACTGATGATTGGCCCTGTGCTGTCACATGGAGGTAGGGAGAGCATTCTGGCCCCCGTGTAAGCTCTGACTAGAATTACACTTTAATGTGTCAAGAATTAGCTCTAGAATTAGACTTTCTAGAATTACACTTTAATGGGTCTGGTTAGCTATGTTTGAATGCATTTTGCGTCTTGGGATGCCCTAATGTGCACTGAAACTATAGGTTGCCATAGAGATGAGTGATTCAATATATGTTCATGGCTCAGTATGGAGCATGTCTCTCTTTCTTAATGCTCACACTAATGGTGCTGGATTTTTTTTTATTTTTTTTATTTTTTTATCATAATGTCATCTTTAAAGGCTAAATTAAAAAAAAATGTGTTGTGTGCAAAGTGATTCCATACCCGTGTATGGAGTTTAAATAGCAATGTTAAACCACTTGTGGCATTATATATTGTTGTGATAACGCTGTCTAGAGACTGTTATTAGAGATTCTCTTATTTCAAGTTATTTTGAGTTTATTCAGTTCATTGCAGCTACATTCAGCAAGCATTTTTAAACAGTACTGTAGACTCTTGCTATGTTATTCTATGTTTGGCAGCTCCTGTCTCTAGAACTATGAAGGGAGTAGCTGGGAACCAGGAAATGTATTGGCCTGCACTGCACATTCAGGTACAGGGCAAGTCAGGCCATAGGCAGTTGAAGAGATGGTTAGGAAGCTGCACAGGATGAATACAAAGAGATCAATTAGGGCCACTTAATGGGTAGGCTGAGTCCCCGACATGCTAAAAGTATACCCAGAGCAGGAGTTCAAGAGCCAGCAGGATTTTTCCAATAACTAGAGAAGACCTGAAATTTTGGTGCCAGCTAAAATTTTTAAGGAGCATCTGGGTCCTCGGATTTATCAAACGCTGATCTGAAGCCAAATGGGGAATTGCTGTCCCTTGGGGGGATTTTCCTTTACTTGCTGTCTCCAGACACAACATGAAGTTGGAGAAGATGCCTCCAAAGAAAGGGAAATCCTCTTTTAGGGCTTGTCCAAACCATCTCCAGACCAGATCTGGTTGTGTTTCTGCAAAGGCAATCATATGCATTTTTTATGTGTTTTTGATGTGTTCTATTGCATTTATTTGTATGTTTTGATGTGGAACAGACCAGAGAAAATAGGGCATGCAGTAGGAATGAATAGGTCTGCGTTTTTTAACCAGATAAAAAACGTTCTCGTGTGGATCTGGTTCAAACATGGTGTGATAATTGTAAGGCTGCAACCAACTAATCGATGAATCAATTATAATCGATCATGAGTGTTTCTCCTGACCAACTGGTGTGGCGTTCCATTAACCACAGCACATTTGTTTGTCTTTTTGCAGTGACAGTTATGCACGTGTGCGAGCTGTGGTGATGACGCGGGATGACTCAAGTGGCGGGTGGCTGCCACTTGCAGGAGGGGGTCTCAGCTGTGTCACCGTGTACAAGACTCTCCACCCTGAGGATAATGGCAGTACAGACTTTCTGGTCCATGGAGAACGGCTCAGAGACAAAACGGTGAGAGATGTTGCAGAGTTATGTGCTGTTACTTTGTATCAGTGATATGCCTGTCCTTTATACTATCACACTGATGTACCGATCTGGTGTCCTTCCCATGACTTAGCACTAATATCACTGTGTATATGCTTATTCTAGCCTTGTTTTCTACTTTCAAGTTTACGTAAGAGTGAGGGTCAGGAGTACTTCCCTAGTGTTCAGGACCTGCAGGGTCCCAGTTCCTTCTGAACTGAATGGGTCTACCTGGTCTGGTCATGGGCTGGGATGGCAGGAAGCCCACAGTGTCAAGTGCCACTGGGAGTGGTGCTCTGGGGTGCTCGAGTAACACTATGGGTTTGAGACTCCACTGTGTGAAAAGCACTTAGGCCATGACACCACAGCCTTTTCTGCACTATGCCTCTTGGGTTAGGCCTTTTGGCTAAGACCAGGGGTATTTATATACCGGGCCACCAGGCCTAGACCACGTATATACACTGGCATCTCTTTATTGTTTTTCCTCACGTCTGTGCACTTCACTTTTTTTTTTTTTCTTCACTCCACAAGTATGGAGGGTGTGTCTTTTTGGCCCTTTCCTAAAGTCTAGGGGGAGGATGTGTGGCCATTAGGTTCCTTCCTCCCCAGAACTGGGGAACTCTCCTTGGGAGAGCCCCAACCTAGTACTCAGTGGTCTGCTTCGTGTGACCAAAAGGAATTTGGCTTTGGCTAGCTGGACAAGAGTCCTCTCCCCCTGTTAAAAGCCTTACGCGCCAGGGGGGGTCAGATATATCGCTCGATCTGTTTGGTAGATGGATCATTTGACACTCCCTAGTGCACTTTTTTATGTGTGTTCACATGCACTTTTCTGTTTACTATGGTATTTTGTTTTTTGCACACCCGCCGCGTGCTTCAATAGAAAAATAAAATAAAAAAAGAGGACCTCTAGCTGGCTTGACACTTCTTGTCTTACAGGCCTTGTACATACAGGATTACGCTTCTATAAAACCAGTGGGTACAACAAGTATTTGAAAGCCTATCTCCGGGGTAAAAAACAAACAAAAAGCTGCCCTTGCAGGGGGGGGGCTACCCCACTTAGTCTCGGAGCCAGTGGTAGCGGATTTCAGGTAAGTAAAAATATTTCTCACAGCCCCCCTAGACATATACAAGCAGTAACCCTTGCAGTGTGGGGCGTAGCCCCAGTGGCGTAACCAGAGTTATGGGCGCCCGGGGAAGAACATTTGTTTTCGCCCCTCCAATATTATATAAACATCCACTAGAACTGTACCCCCCACCCCCACACATATATATCAGCTAAGGAACTACAAGTCCAAGCATGCCATCATTGTCCCAGTACACCCCCCCCCCCCACACCCACCCACACAACGGGTGTTACGCCACTGCGTAGCCCTATTGTAAGGGCAAATCGGCTTTAAAGTATTTTCAAAGCTCTCTGCTTGCTTCAGGCACTTTTTCTTGAAATCTTTACGGCCTATTTACACCATTAAGTTGCTGTAACGTGTGTTGGCGCATTGCAGTACCATTTATTGTGACGGGTACTCCAAGGCACCTTCCAAACATGCCTGCAATATAGTGCACCAAAACACATGGGATTACACTACTGTGTCGCAGTCTGTGCGAACGAAAATTTTGCGGGTACGTTGTGGTGCGCTAGGCAGCCTATTGAAAAAAAATGGACTGCCTTTATGAAGGTATGTTAATCAGCAACATAGCTGCACAGCAACAGACCTGACCTGTGTGAATGTGTCGTTGAATCACCCATCAGCTCTAGTTTGGGGACATTAAACAGATCATAATGATAGTACTGGCTGTCTCTGTAAATAAAGTTCTAGCAAGCTTCCTCACTACTTCACAATGGTTGGAAGCCTGCTGACATCTGTTAGCATCGTGTTGAAAGTAGGGATGCACCGATAACGGTTTTTCGCTATCGAGTACGAGTACCGATTATTGTTTATTCAGTACTCGCCGATACCGAATACCGATACCGGAAGTCCAATTAAGGAAGCCAGGTAATGACTCGCCACCCAGCTTCCCGATTAGCAGGGAAGCCGTCTCCATGCTTCTAGTCACTAGGTAACGAGAAAGCATGGAGCCGGCTTTCTGGCCAATCTGGAAGCTGGGCAGCGTGTAATGACTCGCTACCCAGCTTCCTGGTTGGTCGCGAAGCTGGCCAATCAGGAAACTCGGCGCGGTGTAATGACGTGGCGCCCGGCTTCCTGAATGGCCGGGAAGCCAGCTCCATGCTCTCTCATCACGAGGTGACGAGGGAGCATGAAGCTGGCTTCCCGGCCAATCGGGAAGCCGGGCGCCCCGTCATTACACCGCGCCGAGTTTCCTGATTGGCCAGCTTCGCGACCAACCAGGAAGCTGGGTAGCGAGTCATTACACGCTGCCCAGCTTCCTGATACCGGAAACTCATATATCGGGATAGGTATCGGAGCATTTGGGTTACTGTTGATCTGCCAGAAATCCAGTGAGCTACTAACTTCCTGTTATGGGCTAACAACACTGTGTCTTTGCTGTACTGAGCTCCCAAGCAGTATTATCAGTCCTACCTATTACAGGACACCTCCCTCTTATGTGATGGAGAGGATTGATCTGTTAATTTAACACACTTCATGTCCAAGAGTGACAATCCTGCTCCTCCATAGATGCAATACTGTAAGTGAGCGTTGTCACAATCTGACAGAAGTGTGTTACTGAAAGGATCACCAAGTGAAAATAAAGGAAGGAAAGCCTGAAAAGGGACAAATATTTCAGCCACCACCTCTAAGGGTTTTAGAACACTATACCATCCCCAAACTAGAACTGAAGTGTGCTTTAAAAGCTTCAACAATTCTTTGTAAATGCTTGCTGTGCACGTTGCCACTCAGTATGAGGCCTATTGGTTTAGCCACAAATACACACCAATTCTCATGCCGTTTTTATCTTTCTAAAGATAAAGGTATTCTGTCATACTATGTTGGAAAATGAAAAAGAGATAGTAGGGGCAGTTTTTCCTTCAGACCCCTTTATGGATGAGGCCTAGTGAAAAATGTTCAGGACAGTAATAACTATAGAACCAGCACTGTCCTGAAGTAGTTATACCAAGATCTTGGTATTGTAGCAGCCCGCTGTTGGCTGTAGAGCCGTCCGATCACTTGTAAGCAGAGAGTCCACCCTCCACCACAGGCTATCCCAGGCTCCACTGTGCGGGCCCGGGACCAGCACCATGGGTGTCGGTGGCTGCATTGGAGGGAGATGAGCACACCTCCAGTGGCTGTTCTCCCCTCCGATCAATGAACTCGGAAGCGATGATGATGTTGTCACTTTCAGGCTGTTAAGCCTCCATTCACACCTTTATTCTAGGTGTGATTAGGGATCACCGCATGTAATCGTATGTGCATCCAGGGATAGTGATTTCTTCCAAACCGCATGTAATTGTATCACATACAATCACATGCAGTGTGCCAGCGTTCTGAATGCAGAGGCTGACACCCAATTATTAACTTGACAGCTGCCTCTTGTGAACAGAAGATTAGGGATTCCTGCTGCAGGAAATCATAAGTTACTGACGCAGGAATCCCTAATCGCACCTAAAATATAGGTGTCTGTCAGTGTTAAAGCAGCGTGCAGCTCTGCATGCTGAGATTAAATCATCTTACATTCATTAGCTAACCAAACATATTTTTATTTTACTTACAATTTCTTTTTTTTACACTTCCTGGTCCACTTTGGCACAAATGCCATCTTGCCCAAGCTTTGCATCCTGGGAAGATTACATCACCAGATCATTGGTGGGAAATCTTATCTGTAATCTCAGAAGATCTCAGGGAAATGCATTCTTCTCCCCTAAAATGAGGTGCATGGTCACATGGCCTAGTCACATGAGCTAGAGTTCCAGGAAGTAAGGGGAGATCTATTAATCTGCCCTTAGTAAAAATGGACACTGTGAGAAGACTAGGTAGGAAAAGAGAAATAAGGAATGCAAAAAATACAAAGCTTGCAATTTTCTAGAAATATCTGTTTGTAGATTGTCATCACTAAACATTTCTAAAGGTGTCTTTGTTGTTCTTTTGAAGATATGGGTAAAGTTCTTATTTAAGTCTCTGGCTGTTGTAGCAGCAGAAGCAGCTGGTAAAGCACAATCTGTGATTCATCAGCTTCTTTCGGGTCCATAGGTGAAATTAGGGTTCTAATAGAATACTGATGACTCCGTAAAGAGAACCTGTCACATCCTCGGTGCTGTCACATAAAGGGCTTGTTAGCTGCAGACACTGTTTGTGTATCCTGACAGCTGGCTGGCACCCACGTCAGGGGAGATTCCTCCATCCATGCTCTTTAAACAGTTGTCACCTGAACAGATATCCCCATTGGAAAAAATTTTCACTGTTGCTGTTCTGGTGGCAGGTCAAAATGTTACATTTTCCTTCACTTTAGGTCCTACGGATAATGATTACAAGGATAAATAGAGAGGGTGAATCTCTCTAGCAGAAGCACCAACCTTGCAACGGTTCAAGTCCTTCTCCTCTCAATCCAAAACTAAAAAAAAAGTTTTACCTTTAAATATATTGTAAAGAAGATATCCGGACATATGAAAAATTAACCCTTGCAGTGGACTACCCCTGCACTGCAAGGTTTAAGTGCTTGTTTTTCTCTAGGGTCTAAAATAAAAAAGATATGCTCACCTGATCCTCGGTCCCGCCTAGCTGTTAGACCAGTCCCCTCAGCCACTTCTCCCCTATGCTTCAGTTGTCTATGGTTGGAGTCATCATGTCCAATACAGTGTATTAGATGTGAGAACATTGAGGGACATTCCATCTCTGAGCTGGAGGAGGGAAGAGAGGTGAGCGGTTACTGCCACAGGGCTGAGGACCGGGTAAATATTTCTTCTTTATTTTAGGCCCTAGACCAGCGATGGTGAACCTATGGCACGCCTGCCACAGAGGGCACGCAGAGGCCCCTCTAGTCGCATGCGAGCCTAGGCAGGGGTGTAGAATTTGTATTGCACAACGCCCTGTTCATGC